GAACATCCACGAAGGGATATATGTACATACCGCATTGAGTTCATCAGGTCCAAGTACATTGATTTTTAGAGATTTTGAAAGTCCAGTTATGATAATTTTACTGAAAAAAAATAATTCAAAAATTTAATAAAAATCAAATAAGTAAAAAATTCATACGTTTCATTTAATCGTACATAATAATATTGTGGATTAATATCCATCGAAGCTTCATCCGTATCAAAAAAAAGATCATTATAAATTTGTGTTTTAGGTGTTTGATCCTTTTAAAATTTAACAATAAAAAATATATCGTATAAGTATATCTTACTTTATTATATGTAACTAAAATATGAAAAAATGAATTTTCATTTGAACCTTCTTCTAGACTATTCTCAGAAAAAGCGAGTAGAAATTGATGAGTTGATAACCAAAGAACATTAATACATGGAGGATATGAAGGATTCATTATAGCTGATGGATATTTCTTTTTTAATTGCATATTCGGTTCATATAATTCTAATGCACCATCATATTTAGCTACAACAATTTGTTTTCCTTTTGGACTCCAACAAACTATTCAAATAAAATAAAAATTACTAATGATCATAATAATTATAAGATTTTACTTGATGAATTATCACCATTTCCAAGAATTTGACCTAAAGGTTTTAATTGTTTATCAATTTCAAAACATGATACTGATCCTAATCCATCAATATACGCAAATACAATCGGATTAGCTGGATTCCATGCAAAACTTTGAATACTATCACCAATAGCATTTTGTGGTAAACGTATAGGCGGACAAATTAATGCAGAATTTGGCTAAAATAAAAAATTCGATTTTAAAACAAAAAAATTATTTTCAATATTACTGTTTGAATTAATTTAACAACATCATAGAGTATAATAAGACATTCAGCAGTATTTAATTGTAAAAGAATGATAGCAAGAATAGATTCATCAGCATTTAATGATAACCAATAAGGTATAAGTGAAGGATTTTGATTAGGTGCTTGACCAGGTAAATATGATCGACGAATAATCGAATTTTTGTCAAATGTTGTATTTATATTATCATTAGGATCATCATCAGATGTTTTACTTAAATGATGAGATTCTTGATCGATATATCCTGATGGAATTATAGCAAGACCATCAGTTTCCGTAGCATAAAAAACATAACCATAACGATTCGATGAAGCAAGTATATTTGTCACTGGATTTTTTGAACATACATTATACTGTTTTCCAGTAATTGTCAACGATTTACCACTTTTAAAACTAGCAACTTGATCCTAAATGAACAAAACCAAAAATATTATTGAGGTTTACGTCTTATTATGAAGATTCTCTAATAATCATTTCGTTAAAGGTACATCTGTTCTTCTATTAATGTACCCTTATGTGCGATAAGAGTTTTTAATGTTGAAAAAGCGTTAAACTCAATTCTTATAAAGAGGAGAAATCTTCTTAAAAGAAAATAATTTAAATAAATACCATATCTTTTTCTTGTGCGTCTTCCATCATATTTTTGCCTATCAATTCTATTTAGTTATGATCTAAAATCTAAATATATAAAATAAAAAAAGAGGAAAAAGACGAAACACTTTTATTTGACCAGTTTTTTTGTTGCAAAAGATTTCATCATCATCTATCAATCATTCAACATCTTTCGATAATATAAAAAGCTGACAATATAACGCAAAAAAAAGAAAATGAGATTGCTAAATAGACCATAAATATACACATAGAAAAAAAGAAACGTCATTCATATATATCTGCTTTTTTGATTTATTCACTGATTTCACGTCCTGGAATTGTTAATGTCATTGTTGGTGGTTGTAATGTTGGTGTTTTACCAAATGGTTTATTATTACCACCAACTTTGCCTTCATAATGCATTAAAATATCTTGATCAAATGGACATGATTCTTGAAATGCTTTTGTTTGATAACAACGTTCCATATATGACCATAATGAATTTAATTCACTTGGTATATCTAAATTTTTATAATATTTACCGGCAACACGTATATGTTGTAATTTAGGCATAATATCACAATCAACAAATGTCATTTCATTTCCGGAAAGATATTGTGTACCCATTTCTTCAAGATAATCATTGATACGTTTTAATTCACTTAATAATGAACGTAATTTCATTTGTTCTTGAGGATCACCTGATGGAGATTTTAAATATGGATGAAATTTAATATAAACATTTGAACAAACATCTTCAGCTTCTTTTAAAGAACTCATATTTGTAACTGGAAAACGTTTACTTATTTCAGCATCAATATCACGATTATCAGTGAGAACAGTTTGAGATGTTTTATCATTTAATTCATCGAATACAACAACAGGTGGATTGGAATTATAGGCTTTTTTAAATTCTTGTTCAGGATTTTTCATATTTACTGGATAAACCTAAGAAATAGATTTCATCAATAAATGAATCTAACTAAATAAATAACATACAGTTAATGCAAGTTCTTTAGCTTCTGATTTAAGATATAAAACCATAAACCATCGTTGACATATTGGACTTGGTGAACGATGAGTAAAATCAATTTCTGATCGCTAAAAAAAAACCAAAAAAAATATTTTCTTTTATATTTAAATAAAAAAAAGAAACTTACAGTGACAAATAATGCAACTGATGGTACCTGAGATTGAATTGATTCCATTTACAAAAAAAAATACAAAAATGATCTAAAAAATAACATATAGAATTCTTCTTCTTCTTCTTCATCAGATAAATAAAGAATATGCGTCCGTTAAAAAGACGACAAATCTATAAATAAAGTTCATATAGGGTAGACAGTAAATATCGATCGACGATCGCTTCTCATCATTTGGATTATTATTCATTCGATGACCAATTGAATCTATCAACTGTGAATATACTTAAAATAATTATCAGTATATATATATATCATTTAAGCACGTTTTAAAACGAATTATTAAAATGCATATATCTATTGTATAATAATTCTTTAATGACTAATCAAGAAAAAAACATTCTTATAGAAAAAAATTTCTTAATCTTACATATAATCATGTTCTAATTTGATGATTTAGTTTACTTTTAAATATTTTGAAATTCGAAAAAGTAAACAAATGAAATAGGGTTAAACTATGACAAACAAGAAAATCATCTTATTGGTAAAATATTTCAAAGAAAGAATAGATATGTATATAAATACCATATCTAGAAGACAAGTTAAATCACTAAGTGATTCAGAAATATTATACATAAGTACCTAACATAAAAATCTTTGAAATGAAATAAATACTCCAATTACAAGATATCCGACAGAAGGCGCTAGTTGTCTGGTTTAACACATAAAAGTTCTTTTGTTCTTGTCGATTTTGTAATAATTTATTTAAGTATTGAGTTTTTGTTTTAGATTAAAATATTAGAAAAAAAGTAACGGACATTCGGATATTTGGTTTTAGTTAAAGAAAATATTTTTATTGAAATTAGGATGCCGTTTTTAATATAAAATGTAAATGTATTTTAATCTTAAATTCATTATTAAATCTAAAATTCGGCAAATACGTCGGAGAAAATAGATGACAATAATATTTTTGAGTAAAGGAAGTATATTATATGATACATGAATTTTGTTTTGAAATTTTTTATATGCGTAAGCTTCTTTTACGAGCTGATTAAGCGTGATGAATTTACTTTTTATTATTCTTTTAAAATAAAAGAGGTTGTGTTGTAATCGATAACTGAGTTGTAACCTAATTGAAACTGAAAGAAAACTATTCTCAATATCCACCGTAAAAAAACAAAATTTAATTTCTATGAATAGTTTAGTATAAATCACGGTGTAACATATAAATACTTTCATCCTTTTTATTTAGTATCACAAATATTTGATCATTTGTGGCCATATTATTCTTTTTTGATCGATTTCTTTTCATATTCACTTAGAAATGTGTGTTGTCAGGTAATGATGCCATAGAGGGTGGGTGTGGCTTTCTTAAGGAGACTCTTTTAACATTATTTTCTTTATCAACAAGATATACAAACTGAAGTGTTTGATTGAATATATTTATTAGTGATAAATAATATATAATGAAAAGCAATTGTAAAATGTGATTAAACTCACAAACTAATCAATTGACGGTTGATAGTCAGCACTTCTCATCAGTTTCCAGTACTAAGGAACCTAGTGCGAGTGGATACTGATGAGGTATGCTTAGATTTCTACTAACAGCAAACTTTAGCAATTTCCAAAATTTCCCATTTCCCATAATCAACAGCTAATAAACATTATACTAAAAAGCCGTATCCTTAAATAAGAAATTTCAAGCACGTACGGAAATTTCCACATACATAATGTAAAAAACGATACACATACCATATGCCCACCCTGTATAAAGAGCCACGAGAAGATGGAAATTACTGGTAAATTTCGAGTAAATTACATAAATACAATATAGTACTATTTATATATGAGAGCGCGGCAGGGTAGGAAATGAAAAGAAAATATGGAAATTTCTAGTCAGTTTCGAGTAAATTTCATATGCATATAATGCTGTATATTGACTTCTTTACAAATATCTAAAATATTAAGAAATTTCGTTGTAATTTCTGTAGATTCTTTTTTTTGACTATACATATATCTCGATGTTGGTGGAAATTGTCAGTATTTTCCGAAATTTACGTTTCTCGGAAATCTGAACACTGCTGATACTGATGTGATTCTTCATATCCACATCCAATCACATCCTCATCCATGTATTCAGACTATTCCTTCCGTCAAAAGATAGGATCAGTCTGATTTCCATTGATTCAAGCAAAAGAAACCGTACAAGAAGCAGAAAGTATAAGCATTAATGAGTTTAAGTGAAAGATTGATAATGGGGAAATTTTATGAAAAGTTTTTGTATCGAACGAATATTGTCATTCGTTCCGTATTGCCGAGTGGTTAATCATAGGATAATGTTGTTGGTACAGTAAGGAAATGTCAATGACGATGTTGAGTATGATAGAGAAATAAATTTTAAGATTGCAGGAGAACACTAACGGTATTTCCCCTATAGTTTGCGACGATAATATCGGGTTTATTGTCATTATTCACATCGCCTACTGCTACTGACACTGGACCTTGACCAACTGCGTAAGTAGTTTGACGAGAAAAAATACCGCTGCCTACGTTGAGAAGAAGACTGATGGTGTTTGAACCTTGATTTGCGGTGACAATATCGAGTTTATCGTCGCTATTCACATCGGCTACTGCTACTGAATGAGGACTTGCACCAACCTCGTAAGTAACTTGATGAGAAAAATTGCCATTGCCTGTGTTGAGAAGAACACTGGTGGTGTTTGAATCTCTATTTGCAGTGGCAATATCAGGTTTATTGTCGTTGTTCATATCGACTACTGCTACTGACACTGGACTTTCATCAACTGCGTAAGTAGTTTGAGGAGAAAAAGTGCCGTTGCCTATATTGAGAAGAACACTGGTGGTGTTTGAAAACAAATTTGCAGTGACAATATCAGATTTATTGTCATTGTTTACATCGGCTACTGCTACTGACGTTGGACCTTTACCAACTGAATAAGTAATTTGAGCAGAAAAAGTGCCATTACCTGTGTTGAGAAGAATACCGACGGTGTTTGAACCCTGATTTGCAATAACAATATCGAGTTTGTTGTCGCTATTCACATCGGCTATTGCTACAGGCATTGGAGTTGCACCAACTGAGTAATTAGTTTCAGGAGAAAAGTTGTCGTTGCCTACGTTGAGAAGAACACTGACGGTGTTTGAAGCCTGGTTTGCAGTAACAATATCGGGTTTACTGTCGTTGTTCACATCGGCTATTGCTACTGATCGTGGATATACACCCACTGAGTAAGTAGTTTGAGGAGAAAAAGTGCCGTTGCCTGTATTGAGAAGAACACTGACGGTGTTTAAATCCAAACTTGTAGTAACAATATCGGGTTTATTGTCGCTGTTCACATCAGCTACTGCTACTGACCATGGACCTTTACCAACTTCGTACGTAGTTTGATTAAGAAATATACTTTTATAAGCTGGCAAACAAGAAAAAAAGATTTTAATTACAGTTTTTATCATTAAAAAATAGTATCTCATCGTCTTATTCTATTTAATCTGCAATAGTTCGTCTTAACTGAAAGCAAACCAATAAAACCATTCCACTATGTTTATGACTAATTGCGATCTTCTACAATCCTACTACTTACATCGTTTTTCCAATTCTATTTATGATCATGAACAACGTTTTAATCTATTGCGACATTAGCACAGTTATTAATCTCAAACTCAGATAATAAATTTCTCTCTTCTGCATTCATTTTTTCATATGACATCATTCTTCGCAGCGTCTTTTCATTACAAAATTAACTTTATGACATTCTGACGAATACATATTGAGATGAGCTAACACGTTGCGACAATCACTAAATTATGTCTTCACTAGACACAGTTATCATAAAGGACTAAAATTTCGATGGAACCTTACTAAAAACATACTTCTATTTAAGTTTAGTCATATCAAGTGAATCCAACGAAGATCTTTCAATCATATGATAGATCGATTTATTCGAGTACATTGGAAAATGTCTTCACTAAAACTAACAGAGACAGAATATCTCGGGGTATAAAATGAGAATGACTGATTCTTTGTGAGGTCTAGATAATAAGTTTAAAGTGAACAAGAGGGATATAGAAGAAATGAAAATTGTCCTCTTTTACTTTTCTACAGAAAATAATAGCTCCTTTAATACTTTTGATGCTATAAGTATCTACAGAAAAGTTAAATCTAACAAATAAAGGTCAACATTTACATATAAACTTAAAATTGAATACTTTTGTATCGCGTGGACCTATCTCCAATTGCTGTAGCTTCAAGCAGAGTTCTCCCTTAAAAGATTCTGGATTTGATTCTACACAAACCTGTCTCATAAAAGTAAAAATAAATAAAGTTGTTTCAGCAATACCACAAACATATAATATGCCTAACTTTCAAAATAGTATCCAAAAAGAAATGTTGTTTGAAAACTACTTGTCATGATCAAACATATTCAGCAAATAAGTAACAAGAAGTTCTAAGAGTATAGTTTCTCAAACTGAACAAGAATTGATTGCTTGGCAACTAAAAAGAGTACTATGATTTGTGTAGCATATTACTGACCGATTGATGTTGCTGTCCATGATGTTTCTTCTGTTGATGATGATGTTGATAATGATGATGTTGATGATGATGGTGTAGTTGTCGGCATTTTTGTTTTTATTATTGTTGTTGTTTGTCTTATAGGTTTTTTTGTTGCCGTTGATGATGTAATCTCACTTTTCTCTCCGTTTGGCATAATTACATTATCAAAAGATGCCTGGTTTATTTGATCTTTTGTTATCTTAGCTCCTGATAAATCACTGTTCGAAAAGTGTGCACCTGTCAGATCTGAGTTTGTAAAATCTGCTCCAGACAGATTTACACCAATAAAACTGGCACAAAGTAAAGATGAACCATCAAATTTCACATTATCTAACCGTGCTCTATCAAATGATACACCATTTAAATTAACAAATGAAAACTCCCCATTTGACATTGATATCTGATCAAAAGAAATGCATTGTAAATCCAACTTATTTAATACACCTGTTTGACTTGCCAGACGTACATTATCAAAATTTAATTCATTTAAACGAATTATATCATCTAGTTTTGTCGTTTTACATCCATTAGTACAATTATTTCTACCAATTAGTTGCTTTTCTTTAAGGAACTTTAAAACATCTGCTTTACGTATTGTATCCCATTGACGATCAGCAGCACGATAATATGCGTTGGCAAATGCCCATGGATTTTTTCTTTCCTTCAAATGACCATAATTATCCAATTTAAGAATGTTATTTAAAAATTCATCATAAAGTATTTGTTGTCTTAATTTTTCAGCTTGTTCCAAATCAAACTGTCGTGTTTTTTCCGCTTCTCGTTTTTGTTGTTGAGATCCAATTGCAGTATAAATAGCCAGGGCTATGGGTATAGCAGCGGAACATAGAATAGTTAATACGTCTTTAAATGTAAAATGCCAAAACACTCGTTTGTTACTATCTACCATTGTGTCGTTCTGATTTCAGAATGAACAGTAAAATATTGTGATGTATTTGAATGTAAAGAAAACCCAAATACTCTACTAATAACTAGTCTTTCTCTGTTTTTCCATTTCTCTCTTATTTAACAACATATTAAATAACGGGTTTAATTATATTTTTAAAATCAAATGTTAGAAAAAAATTAAAAGAAATAAATAGGTAATTATTCATTACAGACACGATAATTAGAAAAATAGTTTCTTGTTACTTTCAGTATATTGAACGTTGAATTTGATCTAAACTAACAAAAATGTATGAATACTCGTAATTGATAATCGGTAGAGACGACAAAAGAAGAAAACTTATACTGTTGACTTAAATATCGGAGATTTCTTCTTATGTCTACATACAATACAAAATTATAGAACTTCATTAATTCTCCGAAATAATGGAAAATATGTTAATAGCAACTATGAAATGATATAGATATATCCATTACAAAGGTCTACAAAAGAAAAAAGTTACTCTGGGCTTGATGAATAATTCTTTTAATCAAATCCCTTATTTGAGACAAACAGTTCTGAATAAATATTTTTCTTTCAGAGTTTTTTATATAAAAACCCTTGATGTGTATAAAATAGTATAAAAGTGTAGTAAAAATAGTTTTATAACTGACTCAAATTATCTAAATTTATAATTTATTAAAATTAAGAATATCATTACAAAAGCAAAAGACATTTGTCATGTGTGATAATAAGATGAAAAGAAAAGACTAATTTGTCGATTAGATCAATCTATCGTATCTATGTATTTATATGAAATAAACAATACGTCGACAATATTCTTAAATTAATTAACTAGACAACAATGGTTTATAAACTTCTTTCAATTTTTTTTTATTTCTTTTGCTTAAGATTTATATTCTTTTCTTCCCTCAACAAAAAAATATCAATTTCAAACAGAAAAAACTCATCTTATCGATATTATATTAGATTTTGACTTTTAATAAATGATAGAAAAGATTTTTCAAACGAGAATAACCTATAAAAGATAAAATATTGATAATTACATTAATTTAAATAGTATTAGATCGATTATTTAAATGTTTATTTGAAATATTTTGAAATTTTGAATACATCAGTCATTTATATTATTATCAAAAATCTGCAAGTTGAGACGTTTTATTTCAGTCTTTTTAAACATTACATGTATGAAACTGAAAATATAAAAATATTAAAAGAGTATGAGAAGTATTTTATAATATATTATTATTTCTTTATTATACAAAATCCGTAGGGTCTAATGTCATCAGCACCGAATGACATCCAATAATCTTTGACTCCAGATTTATCATCATCAATTTTTATTAAAGCCTTTGGATTGACTCGATTCTGAAGCACAATATAATATTTTTTTTCTGTTATAAGTAAAAGCGGGAGCATAAAGTTTTGCTGTATTAATATCAGACGTTGAGTGAATACCTCGTCCATGAGCAAAACGTCTATGTTTTGTTAAATCATAAGCAGTTTGTGTAATAGATTTTGTTGCATCATGTCTTGTTGCATAATATGAAACTGGCGATTCATCGGGACTATTATTTGATTCAAGCCATATCTCATTTTCATGTTTTCCAGAAATCAGGATATCGCTGTTAATTGAATTCAGTATCCTAACCAAAAGCGAGCCAACACCGACACCCATATCCTCAAGAATCTGGTGCGTTTTTTTGGGTCCTAATGAGTTTCTTGGATTCTATTGAATTACGTAGAATGTGTGCCTTCTATTGTGTTCTTTAGATTCTGTGGATTCTGGTGAGTTTTTTTCTCTTGATGAGCTTATTGAAGTCTCTTGAATTACGTCGATCCCGAGGCTTCTGTTGAGTTCCATGGATGCCGTGGGTTCTACTCAGTTTCGACGACTTTAATCGGTGTATAAGCTCACAATTCCTCAAGAGCCCAAAACTCATGGAACTTGGACCGATCTACCGTAGATCGAACTCTTTTCTTCGCTTGCACATCTGACTAGAGTTGCGCACGGAATTAGGTAAATTTCATGACAATAATTCAGTTTTAACGTTAAAGATTATTTAGGTTCATGCTTTTGTTGTCCGACATTTTCTCTACAAACTTATGTGTTTCCACGGCTCAATTAATGTCTTGTTGAACCTTACTAAGATAAAAGAAAATTGGAGTTAGTTTCGGCTCCGATTTTTTCTATGTTTTATTTGGGTTCGTAAGACTCACTGAGACGGCGAATGATCCTTCAAAATACATCAATTTGTAGAGAAAGTGTTGGGCAACAAAATCGTGAACTTAAATAATCTTTAACGTTGAAAATGACTCCAAGCAGTACTCTGTTTCTAACTCTACTTGTTTGCGTATACATCGTATATCTGTGTATAATAATCAAATACTCTGAGAGAAAAAGAGTCAGCTGTGAAATGAGAAAATATAAAAAAACGCACTTTAGAATAGTTACGCTGCCGAGCTGATATAAAAGCTAAAAAAATTAGCGTAGTATATTACTGAGTTCAAATTTTAATTGAATTATATGATATATCAAATCGATATGAGTTTGATAATTCGAATACTTTTCTTCGAAAAAGGATATAAACAAACGTTTAATTTTGCTAATCTTGTTATTTTGTTCTTGTCTACTTATCCTTCCTAATTACGTAGGTGTATTCAAATACTTTCTATCTTCTATAGATTTATTTTTTCTGGAACCTGCCAAACTCTTAATTAATTGTTTCTTGTGTTCTTTTTATTGTATTATTTTGTTTAATTTACTATAGAAACAATAAATCCTTCAACGTTAAAAAAAATTCATTTTCGATGGTTTTATCTCGATTTTTCTTCATGAAGAGTTGACAACAGCAGTTAAATGAGCCAGCAAGTTTTCAGTCCTGACAATAATATATTTTTTTGTCATGCTTTCTTCTTCATTACACCCACACCCGCAAAAGAAAATCAGCAATTCTCCGTTCTACAGATGTCTGTTCGAGAAGAATCTTTTAAAGTAAACGTAAAAGAAATTCTCATTTCATTCCAGTTAAAAGTTGTATACGTTGTTATCATAAAATGCCGTGGAAAGAACGATTATATCGATGGTATACTAAGGTATTACAATTTCTCTTAGGGTTCAATATTTTTCGCTATGATTTTGCCCCCACTACTGATCAATATAAAATCAAAGCACAGATTGTAGCCACTCGTGTCTATCTAGTCCTATTGGCTATTTCACTGTGCACTTTGATCACTTACACAACACAAATATATGTAACCGAAACAGTTTCTATCAAAAGTCCGACACACAATCAATTTTTGAGTTTATACACTACCTATTCAGAAACACTTTCGTGCCCATGTACGAATTCCTCGATTGCCTATGATCAGTTTATTTATCTCGATGTATTCTACCATCAAATATGTCATAGTGTATTCACAACAGATACATGGCGTCAACTGATTGCTTCAACATCGAACCCTAATGAGGTTTCTTTGAATTTTCGTTATATTGGCGGACCGTTATTCTATGTTCTTAATTCGTTCTGTGGTTTGAGTGAAACAACAGTTACTGATGGTATGATAGATTTCAATGCGAGTCACCTCATTTCCGGTACAGTTTTACCACATGATACTTTTAATGTTGAAGTAGAGAATATAATTGGTTCATTCATTTCCACTATAACGAGAGAATTCACTCGATCTCGTCAATTAATTCGTGATCAAATACAATACAATGGTATTCTGTCAGGACTTTATACAAACTTTTATTACACTTCATTTATGCACGAAGAGGACCATGTATATGGTGAAGGAGTTGATTTTTACACTTTATCACGTGTCTATGTCAATCAATCATCAAATTGTTCCTGTGATGACACACCATTGTGTAAAATACCAGCGTTTATTGACGACGATGATAATTCATTTCACATTCCCGGAATATATTTTGGATGTTATATAGTTGAATCACTTCTTCAATCTAATCTCGATTGCTTTTATAACCAAACATGTATTGATGAGTTACGTCATGCACTTAATTCGTCTGTGACACTCATTACATCTGCTCTTGATGTAACCATACAAAGTCAGTATGAGCGTAATGAAACAATCGAGCACATTGTTGATCAATTGATGATCGAGCAATGGAGGAACACAACATCCCATAAAGTCTATTATGATCGATGTCATCCTTCTGTATGTATATATACATATGCTAGTAAAAAGAATTGGCTCAATGTATTAACATCGATTATTGTGCCTCTGGGTGGTCTGAATCTTATTCTGAAGATCATAGTGCCTCGCATTATCATGCTGATTTGGTCGCGTCTTCGTACAAATCCAGGTAAATGAACAGTTTTAGAGATGAAAATCAGTTGCTTACAAGTATTACTAACTTTAACTTGTTTTATTTCAGAACGAAATGCACGTTTGCACAATGAAAATTTTCTACAAATGATTAAAAGATATATTCTTAGTTTTAATGTGTTTCATACATTATCTCATTCAAATATGGATGAAGAATACACGAGACGCACGCAAATCATCGCTACACGCGCCTATCTGCTGACTTTGGTGGCTTCGCTTTTTGTGCTGATATTATATAGATCTCAAGTAACTACCGTACGGTTGGTAACTATTCATGCACCTTCTTATATCGAGTATGTTAACTTATACGATAACTATTCTCAATCTCTCGCATGTCCTTGTACCAACACTAATATACAATACGGTGAATTTCTTCAGATAGAAGTTCGATTACATCAAGTATGTAACAGTAACTTTGTTTCTGATCTATATTTCGC